TATGCTCTACTGTGTATCAAGCACTTTTTAAAAAAATAAATGTAAAAGAACTCTGAATTATAAATCTGATTGTTCTTTCTTTAATTAGCTACTTTTACATTTTTATAATAATTTTGATTTGGATATAAAAATAAATTACTTCATTTGGTTTCAATGTTTAATAAGATTTGTGTTAAAATCTTCATGTGAAAAATAAATATTTTCTTTTTTTAATTTTTGTTGCTCCAAAAAAGCAGCTAGTACACGTTTAGCTTTAAAATGAACAACAACAAAAAAAAAGCTAATTATTATTAGCTGTAACTTATTTTGTTTCAAAGTATCAGGTCTTTATTGAAAGTAACTTGTCCTTTCTCAAAAATAATAAATTGTGAATTTCAAAACTGTTACTTTTGATTTTTGTTATCTATTAACAGAGTTCATCGAGATCTAATCTGTTGAAAATGACATCTTCAGTCCCATAATCAATATCAGGACATATAAACTGGAGTATTTTTGTGTCAATGATAATAAATCTGGTAAGAGTGATCTCCCTTACATTGTAATTAAAGTGACATTTATTTCAACAAGGTAAATGATTTTATTCGGTATAATAACGCTGTTTCTTTCATGAATTCTCTATGTATACTTTTAAAGTTTAAAACATCAGTAACAGGTCAAAATATTCTCGTGTAATTCTTTTTCTGATATTTAATAAAGATTTACTTTTATTGTTGCAATATATTTCTTGCTTATTTCGATATTGAAGCACCAAATTCTTCTATTATCACAAAAAATATTTACCTACTCCCCAAATTGATAAGAAATTTTATAATTTTGAATCCTTTTTTTTTTCTTTTTATTATCCGTTTTATAAATTTTTAAACAAATTACAATTTATGGGTTCTTATTAATATTTAATGTCTTTAGTTAAAAATAAAGGGCGATTATTTTAAAAATTGCATCATTAAGATGAACTAAATTATTAATCATTAAAGTTATAGCATAGAAACTATTTTAAAACTACACAAGAAATAAATTTTTAATCAAACAATAAAATAAATTTTTACAAAATGAAATTTCCCTTCAAGTTATGCTGAGTGGTCTCCCTTGTCGTTGCTAAGTAAACATTCTCGAACTGTAGGTGGCAGTACTTGTTAACGACCAGAAAATTTGAATATGGCGACCGGTGATTATGGCCTGCCGTTTGTGTTTACAGAAGAAGAAGTACAGCAAGAACTCGCTCGCCTTGGAATCACAAACATCGATAAGGCCAGCCTGCAACAGTTTCGCAATGAACTTCAAGATTTAATTCAAGAAGTGAGTGCCAGCTCGGCAGGTTTTCCTGACGTTTCCTCAACTTCTGCTGGGATCAGCAGTGGGACTTGTTCGGACTTGTCAACAGATGAAAAACATATGGCTACTAAATCACCACAATCTTCATCACAGTCGCCGTTGTCTGTCCCCTCACCTTTGTTAACACCACCGCTTAGCAAGAGTGAATCAAATGCTCCAATAGCATTGTGTAAAAACTTTCCAGACAGAACGGAAAATTCAAATGGCGGTGTGGGTTACATTCAGTCAGCTTGGGAAAATCCGACATGTTCTTCCCCAAGGAAAAAATCCCATCTTGGAAGAACCCGACAAGTAAATCTCAATTCTGGATTGAATCAGCCCAGCAAGTTGGGAAGTATTACAATGGGCATCCAACAACAAGGAAATGTTCCTATTAACGAAGAATATTCACAAGATGTCGCGTCAGCTACAACAGGTATTCAAAAAAAGGTATTTACTCCATCTTTTGAAATTGGTATTTCAGATCCAAATATTGAAGTTAATTGCGGTGATGTCACTGATTATCGGCTGCGAGATAAGGAAAATGCAGTGACCTACACCCTACCATTTACAACAACAGTTTTACCACCTGAAACAAATAAAGGAGACTCAATTCATGAACTTGGCAATGATGAATTCCTGGACGAACTTTTACGTGTTTATAATTTCGGTAATTCCACAGAAAACAGCAATGTTCCGACGAAGAAATTCACTAAAAGAAAAATTGTCCGTAAAGATTCAGACGGTAAAAGTTATGTCGATGAATCTTATACAGAAAGTGAAAGTGGAAGTTTGTTGGACCCAATTGAATATTTGGAACGTTTACGAGAAATGGACAAATCTGTTTATGATATTGCTGCATCGGACAAAGCTAGTGAATTTTGTCCAAGAGCACCTTTTTCGGTCACGGACAATAATCGGCCTAAATCTGTCATCTTAACATCTACAACACCCCCGAAACTGAAAAAGAACAAGAAGAGTGATCCAGTTAACAGGTACCATCAATTTCGTGACTATTGGGCTCTCCACAAAGTCCCGGGGGAAAACAAACACAATGAGCTCCGCTGGTATATTAAAGAAAGAATGTTACATCAGGACCAAATTGAAAGCAGACCCCGCAAAGTTTACGTACCAAACAATTATGTTGTACCGACAGAAAAACATAGAAATTCTCTTCGTTGGCAAATCCGTTCTGATTTGGCGTACGGTTTGATGCCTTCTTTGAGGGACGGTAACTTCTGATAAATTCCAAGAAGAGATACTGCCGCCCGGATGAATTATTTTTAGAGGTTACTATTGCTTTGCTTTTAGTTTTAATTTTATAAAGAAAAGTTGGGTATCTTGCATTTTAAAATTTGAATACTGAATTACCTCCCTTAGATTACATTATCTAACCTCATATTCTGAGCACATTTATTCCATAAAAATATATAATTCTCCTTCTCTTACTTTGATTCCATTTTATTATTTTTATACGCCTCTTTTGAACTAGAGATGAAATAAACTTATATTGCTGTTCGGACGCAACTTTGTTTTATTTTAGTTTTTAGATGCAAGACGTTTCAATTTGGGTACCTCCCCCACACAAAAAAGCGATACCTAATTTTAAAATGCATTTTGAAAAATGAAAAATCTTTCTTAAAGCTTTAATTTTATTTTTAATTCAAATGTAATAGATTAAATTTAATATTCCCAATAAGCAAAATACTTTGCTGCTTTTTAAACCGAATTTAAATTAATTGAAAACATTTTTCTCCTTAGTAAAATAAAATCTAAATTCATCCATATTGACAGATCTATCAGCACAATTCTCTTTTTTAAAACATCTTTAAAAAATAAAATATACTTTTCTGAATTTTATTTCAAGATTATCTGACTTAAAGTTTAATTAATCTGCATTTAAACAAATTATTACTTACTTTTAATTTAAAATATTGCAGAAAAGTATTTTAAACACTGAGTGGTGTGTATTTCTGACATGAGTGATTTATTAACAGCCTGATGGTTGGGAAATTTAAGGGACACATAACTGAAAAAAAAATTAATTGAATTCAATGTTAACATGCTTTTTATATTTTTTAACTACACAAAAATCTTTAAAATTTAAGAAAATATTCTTGGCAGTCTAATATTGTATTAAATTTTAGGCATTTGGGTTTTATAGCTTTACTTGCAAAGATACTTTTACAAAATTATCAATAAATTTTTAATTTATTATAGTTACCGCTCTTATTTTCTGATAATGTTGTGTATGGTCTTCTATATTTATATCTATTAGAATCTTTTTATGTTTAAAAATAAATTATCATGATACCATAAAATATTTAATTTTGCCCAGTGAAATCTTCACTTATTCTGATTTTTATTAAACTAAAGGAAAAATTCTACAAAAAAATGTGGAAAAAGACTTATTGAATTGATACAGTTAATTGATTGCAGTCACATTATGATTTCGATACAAGAAAAATCTAAGAATGCAGCAAGAATTAAAAAAGAAAAAAAATTTCACTCAAAAATAAAATAAAATTTTTAAAATTTTCAATTCTTCAGAGATGTCTTTATTTAAGAAAGAAATTCTTCTCACAAACAGAACTGGATGAATTTCAAAAAAATAAATATTTAATGTAGTTTTTTTTTTCTATCAGAAAGAAAATGTTTTATTAAATTTTTGCAAACACCAACTCTCTACAAAAATTATTTTTAATTGAATTTTTTTTTGTTTGGGATTCATATATAGTATGTCCTCAGTTGATATTGCATAGCATCAGAAATTTTTTTATATAGCCAGAGATGCTGATAGATGTACATCCTATATACCTGGCACAAACATCTTAAAGGATGCAGTAACTTTGCCATATGTTCATCCCAGGGATGCAACTAAAGTTTCCCATGGGAAGCGATACATTACACAAATAACCCATTAAAACTAAAAGGAATTTGTTGTTGGTTGATATTAAGTGAATGGCATCAATTTAATTTAAAATGTAACTAATATATTTGTTCTGTAACCAAACATGAATCATTTGTCAAATGAACTAGATATTGATGCTAATTAATAAGTAGATATTTTTTAGACATTTTGCATTTTTGTTAACCTACTTTCTAAAACTATGAGTGCAAAACGTTTTACTTTTAAATTAACTAACAAGATTATAGTTTGTATTTATCATGCAGTTCACTTTTCAAATAACATTTAATAAGGACTCAAAAAAATGTCTTCAGATAAAAATTTCTTGATTGGTTTGATACAGACAGTAGGCAGGCCAATATTTTTTTGTAATTTTAATTAACAAACACTGCATTAATCATTTGATGTTATTTTTTTCAAATACTTTTTACTAATTCTTCCTTAATTTCACTTACTCCCTGTAGATCTTGGAGACTCGCTATATTAAAAACCTATCAGTATCACAGTATAATTAAAAAAAATTTTGCAAGAACAACTCAAATTTAAAAGTACACACAATATATCAAAATGCTTATGTAAAACTCACCCTACTAGCATTTCCACAGTTTTCTAAAATAATGGACTATTCAAAATAAAATTCTTTCCTTAATGAGTAACTATTGAAAATTTAAATTGAATAATTCCCTGATTTTTGTTAATTTTTTAAAAAATGAACTAGTGCTATTTTGCTTTCATTATAAAAAATATAATCAAATTTTGACATTACCTATATTTCGGCCTATAGCCATATCACATTGAAATGCTGGTTCTCATGATCACCAAAGTTAAGCAACATCTAGCCTGGTCAATACCTCGATGCGTGACTTCTTGGGAATTCCAGGTGCTGTAAGCTTGGAAGTGCGGGTGGTGTAATGGATAACGACTTAGAATTGGAAATTGGAGAGCCAAGTTCTCAAACCAGTTGTTCACTTATATGCAAATATCCTTGGAAAAAGTATTGAATATAAGCTGTGGATTAATTAGTAGGACTTGTAGCAGTAAAATAATGTTTATCTACAAAAAATTCTTATAATCAAAAAATATATTTTGGCTTTAAATAATATGCAAAAGGTTGATAAGCCATAAAAGAAAATCAACCTACATTTCATCTCCAATATAGGTACTTAACATTTTTTACAAATTTTTATTAGTCACAGAAATTGAATTTTTTTTTTTTTATTTATATAAACCTAGATACTCAGAAGTTAAGTGAAACTCTCTAAAGGAGGCAATTCAGTATTTGCTATATGAAAAATAGTTCAAATACTAAAATGAAAAATCCCCAAATCATTAAAGTTTCAAATCAAAAGCATCAAAATTTTTTTTCTCAAGATAAAAAATTAACTTACTGTGTTGTTTTTCTTTTTTTACTGCTTCCAACAATTTCCTCATGGCAAACACTGAATTGTTTCCCTTATATTTAACTCGCATCATAATCTTGCCTTCTTTTTGGATTTAAAAAGCCATGCAGTAAATCAAACGAAGAAGTACAATAAATTAAGAGTACAGTTCATTTCAGCATTTCAGTTTCCACACACTAGTCATAAACATTTTAAATCACACTCATGTTATGAACATTCCTTGAAAAATTGTATTCAAAATGCAAAATAATTTATTTCAGCTATTTTTTCATAAGTAAAAACTGAAATTTAATTTAATCCCCTTGAAGAAAAATATGAGGCTTTGGTAAAGGAATATAAGGGAAGTAATTCAGTATTTGAGATGTCAAAATTTTATAGAAAAATGAATGAAGATATTATTTCAGTAAATATCTCAATCTTATGTTAATTACAATTTATAAACTTAAAAACTAAATCATTACATGAATGTAGGTACCTCCACTGAATTTTCAATACCGAAGGTTTAAGATTAATTTTTAAAAATGAAAACGCATTCTTGAAGATTTCATTTTAGCTTTAATTGAAAGCTAAATGATTAAATTTATTATTTCCAGTAAGTAAAATATTCTGGTGTATTTCAGATAGAAATTATATAGATTGGAATGTCAAATATTTGCTCAATTTTCTTTTTTTAAGTGGCTGTTTTCTTAATTTAAAAGATTTGTAAACAAAACAAAATTATTGGTTTTAAAAATCTTCCAAAATTAAAATTTATATTTCTGACACATTCGAGTAAAATTAGAAAATTTAAACTTAATTTAATCTGATTTGAAATGAATATTACTTACTTATAGGATAAAAAAAGTAATATACATGCATTTCTTAATGATGGGTCTTATTTTTTTTTTTATCTTTATTGACATATCAATAAGTTTCAAGGGGATGACAGCTCTTATGGATGACCAGAATTGACATAAATTTATGAAATCTAAGTGAACACTTTTTTTTTTTTAGTTTTTAACTACCTAGTAATTTTTACAAATTAACATATTTTCAGCAACTATTTAATATTTTATTGACTTTTAGTTACGTTTCAACATTTTGTCTCTAGGTTCTTAAGTTTACTAACTTAAAAAAAAATTAATTATTTGAAGTATGACTCTAAAATAAATGCATAAAATAAAAATATTTAGTGAAATAGCTTTTATAAAAAGTAAAACTCACTTTGAAATTTTGAAGGGATAATTTGCAAAAGACATTAATGATGAAAAAAATGAATAAGGAAAGTGAAGGAATTGCAGTACATCAGACGAAACTTAAATCAATTGATATTTTAAGGATTATGTCAAGTGTGGTTTACCATAGACAGAAATTAGGAATGTTTTATAACCTAAAACTTTTTCTTAAAAATTCTTTTAAAAATATATTGGTTCAAATGACTGTTATGAACTTTTCAATTTTTGATTCGTAAATATACTTTTCACTTAATGATATCACCAAATTGCTGCCTTGAAAGCAATGAAGAATTTTAAACAATTTTTAAATATTGTAAATTATTTAATTAAAATTTTAAAAAAATGAAAACAATTCTTATAAAAATTAATTATTCAGTGAAAAAAATTTCTTAAGACAGTGTCCTTAATAAATCTTATTTAGGTATGTTCAAAACTTTGCTGAAAAAGAGCATACCTTGATTAAAATAGCCCCAAACTTGATTAAACATTTTTTTATTGTCTAAATGTTTATGGTAGGAAAAAAAAAAATTGTTTGAATATTTTTGAATCCTTTCTAGCATGTCTGAAATTTTAGCTAAAAATTTTGATACGTTTTTTGTTTTTTGAAAAGTGATGAAATTCTCCATTTAAAAATCTTGTAAAATTCAATTATACTTTTTTCAAAAGTTATTTTAGGAAAATTAGAAAATTTAAAGTATACTTAATGTAAATTGTATAAAACATTACTTAATTTTTTAGTAGAAAAATTTAGTTGGAAATAAGAGAAGCATGTCTAACCGTAGTGATTGGTTTTGGAGGTGTGAATTGACATTTACGTCAATGTATTGACAACTAATGTTAGGGCAATTTATCAGAAAGAAGGGCAGAAGTGACAGTATTTTTAATTTTTATAGTGTACCAGCTTATTGAACTATAAAGTAATTCTTAAAAATTAAATACTTTCTAGTATTTATTGATTTCTTTTAGAAACTTTTTTAATTATGTCCAAAGCCTGCACTATTTCTGTCCCTAAAATTGAATCTACAAAAAGAAAAATTAATAATTGCAGTATATCTCTCACTGAAAAAGAAAAAATTATATTTAAAAAATGAAAAGAAAATACTTAGTGAAATATGTAAAAAAATTTTGAAAATGATGATGATGATTGGTCAGTCAGAGAATTTGATACGCTATCAGGAGAAACAAACACATGTGACATTATTTCGGAATTGTGCTTCCATAGTTTTGTCAGAGGCGATTTTTATACATTTTTTGGCATATTAAAAAAATTATTGTAAAAATACACCATTTTGCAGATTGTAAAATGCTTTCAAATTTAAGATCTTTAAAACTAGATCTTTTAATAAGAGTATTTCCAGAGATGTACAGTTTCAAACAATTTTAAAATATTTAATAACTTTATCACATTTTGCATTTAAAATTAAAAAAAAAAAGAAAACTTCTTGTAAAAATTCATTTTTCATTAGAAAAATATTTTGGCTGCAGATAAAAATATCCTTAATATATATTATTCAGAAAAACCATTAAAAGCTTTTTTAATTAAATAATGTCTTAGTTTTATTGGGTTTTGTATTTTACAATTCAGACCTAAAGTAGAACCAGTTAAAAAAAAAAAAAAAAACAGATTTTCAACCAAAATTTCAAACGTGATAGAAAGGAATAAAAAATTTTAAAAAATAATTTAAAAATACTTTGGTCTTTCCTCTTATTAATAAAAAACTTTTTCACAATAAAACATTGTTTTCATTAAGTTTGGGGCCCTTTTTCATCATGCTATACTGCTTTTTGGCAAATTATTGAACATACCCAATCATATTTATCAAAGCAATTAAAAGCTTTTCTAATTAAATAATGTAATAGTTTTATTGCATTTTTTATTTTAGAATTCAGAACAGATTTTCAGAGAAAGGGCCAACTGTTTTACTAAAAAAATTGATTATTTACTTTCTCCAAGAAGGAGTCTTGCTTTTAATTAATAAAAAAATCCCCGCCCTAAAAATTGAATTTCTCGAAATGTCATGAAATTAAGTAAGAGGGTGAAAACATGTTAAAAAAAAAAAAAACTTTTTTAAAAGATTTTCTAAAAAAGAATTTCAAAAATAATTTCATTCATTTCTGAATATGTCCTGAAAGTTTCATTAAAAGCTAACAATTATTTGATTTTTGCAAGAATTTCCAAATTAATGTGTTTCACTGGAAAAAGCGCCAAGAAAAAACTAACCTTTTTTTGGCCACTAATGTAAAAAAAACAAGATTTTTAATCAAAATTTCGAACATGCTAGAAAGGATTAAAAAATTTCAAAATTTAATTAAAAAATATTTTGGTCTTTTCTCTTAATATGAATATTTTGATGGCAAAATTTTGTTTTTTTATTGAGTTTGGGGCCTTTTTTCATCATGCTATGCTGTTTTTTTCGTGAAAAAGTGGAGGTACCTACATGAATGACTGATGAAAAAATTATTGCACCCTAAAAATGAGTTAAGAAAATAAGACTTCAAAATTTTATCCTTTCTCTTTCCATTGTTGGTTCAAAGTTTGGAGTATATATCAACAATTTAAAAAAAGGAAGTCTTTTTGCAAAAATAATTTTTTTTTCTCACTTCCTCCTCCCCAAATATTTTTGATAACATTTCTAATTTTATCTTTTTAACAAGAACTTAAATCATAATATGAATGTCAAATTGTAATCCATGTCTGTCTTTACACAAATATTGTCATTTTAGATTTTTCAGATTTACTACTCACATTTTCTGTTCTAATCAATCAGTGAAAAATAGATAAAAATTCCTGATTTTCATCTTCAGAAATGGAGAGAAAGTCTTGAATATCCAACAAAAATATTACACATCCAATTCTGTAATAAATTCTCAGACAAACAGATTATCAATGACTTATTGCATTAACTTTATTTCAATTGCCAATCTCTAGAATATTTCTTATTTTTTTCGTTTTTCATCTGCTCTTGACTTTAGAGCAAATAAATTTTTTTAACAATTTCTGCTTTTGTTCTTTTAGTCTTGATATTTTTCATTAAACTAACTTGTCTTATTTTGATTGAATGAGAACTTTTCAGTATTTTGCTTACTTTTTTTATCCAAAACTTCTCTTCTGTCATAAATATTTGAAACTTTGGCCAGTTTATATGCAATTCAGAAGTGAAAGCTGTCGATCATTGGGGTGGGAGAGTCTTTCTTTACAGAACTATTTTGATCTCAATAAATTTTTATTATTTTGCTCTCATTTGTATAATTTTTTATTTCCTGTCTGCAGAGAAG